AATAATAATATTAATAATAATTAATTTGCCTTTTTTGATATAATTTATTTCCTTTTTTTTTAAATTACTGGCAGTTTTGGACCAACAGTTGTTCACAATGCACATGAAAATAAAGTTGAGTTTTTTGTGTAATTTGTTATGAAAACTGAGCCTTTGGTTTGAAACAATGCACCAAAATTACAGGGAAAAACTGTCATAAACTGGAGCGATCTGAACACTGGCTGAACAGCTAGCTTTGGTCTGAAATGGATCCAATTAGAGGCAATGCAAATGATAGTCGACCTGAACACAGAGAGAAGTCGAACCCTGGCAGTGTTCAACCAAATTAGGAGCAGCTGTAGTGGAACAACAAGCAGCCATTTTTCCTCACCAGCTGCTTTAAAAAGCACATTTTCTCCTGCGTTGATGATGATGACAGCAGCCTGCTGTGATTCACTCAGGTATCACATATATGGATTCACACACCCCAGCATGGATGGAGAAAGAGTTAAACAGTTAGACTGAATGAAAGAGGAAAGGATGGAGAAAAATAGGATCAAGAGGAGGACGAGAGGACTTTGAGAAAAAGAGAAGAATGGAATAAAATTAAAAAAGACTCGTGGCAACATAAAGGGAGTGTGCTTCAACCTAATTAGACTGCAAATTTGTTTTAACGTATGTTTTAACTGGAAACCCCTCTTAACCCAATGTTGTAACCTTCCATTTAATGTGAACTTCCCCCTCCTAGGAAATGTATCTGCAGGTCGGGTTGAAGCCGCCAGCAATGATTAATCAGCGTGGAAGGTGATGGCATGGTTATGTCAACGTAGATTTTCCGCTGAAGCATAAATTGGACATTAATGGCATCTTCTCATTTCTTTTTACTTTGTTAGTTTCCTTGTGTTTTTTTTCTCCTGTTTTTGTCAAATTCAGTCACTTTAATTTTAAACTGTGTAATTTTAAAACTGTATGTACTGTATATTCTGTGTATTTATTATCTCACTCTTATTGCCTGTTTATGCCCTGTCCTTATCTTCAACGTCATGCAGCTCTGTTGTATCTTAATTGCCCCTTGGGGATAAATAAAATCTTCTGATTCTGAAATAATCTGTTGTGCATCTCCCATGTTATATTCATGTTATTTGTCTTTTATTTAAAATTTTTGTGGTCTTATGTGGTCCTCCGTACACCATTCCTATGACTGGGCTCATAAAATAATGTGTAAAGCCTACATTGTTCCACAATTTAGAGAATACTAGTCTCACAATAAGATGTACAATTATTATGCCTACTTTTGGCTTGTGGCCTTTATCGGGATCATCATAACACATGTATATGATGGGCTTTGAACCACATGACCACATGCCAAAAGGCGTGTACTCCGTTCACTGATATGTGGCTGTACACGATGCATGTGCTTTAGAACTGTGGTCATGCCCATCGTTCCTATTTTATGATACACTTCTTAATAAAGACTGCAACTTGAATGCATTGGTCTAGCAATTAATTTTCCCTTCAGATCTTTTTTCTCTTAACTTTGAAAGCAGGTGAAGTCAAAGCAACAACAACCTACTCTGCTTCTTAAGATTACTGGACTTGGAGGACTGCACTCCAACTGTGCAGTCCTCCAAAATGCCAACAGCACTCAAGCCAATGGCGAAGACTTGATATGTAAACAGAATGTCGGTTGGTTGACAGTTTGGTTTGAACAGGAAAGGAGAAATCAGTGAAGTTTATAAGAAAGAGGAAGAAGCATTGGGAAGAAATCACACCACACAATAGAGGACAGTTTTCCTTGTTTTCAAAATTACCTTTAATTCATAACAGAAAAAGTCTTTGTGTCTTTGGACATCTCTCTTCTCTGTGGCAGTCTGCAACACCAACAGAAACGACACCAGCAGTGACATAGTTACAACAATGAGACATTGGTCTGTGGATTATGAGGTGAGAGGCCTCAGGAAGCTGTGGTTTGTCAGTCTTGTTATTTTAGCCGTAGTTTTCAACATGTCATATTTTAATTTAAAGGTTGGTAGTTCGAGCCACCACTCATCTTGACTTTATTCCTCTAGTCTGCAAGCCAAAGCATGCTTGGGGAGGATATTGAAACCCACTAAAACAAAAAGATGCATCCCTGAGTTACTGGGACCTGTTAGTCCTGCATGTGCAGAACAAAAGAGTTGTATGAATTTGTGTGAGCTTTGTAAAGTGCTTTCCGGTGCTGTATAAAGCACTTCCATTTACTTGTCGATGTTGAGGTGTTTTCTTTCATTTTTACTGGCATTCATAACTGCTGATATCTCATTCTTTATGTTTATTTACCGCTAAACATCAGCTACGTTGCCAGTGACCTGTTAAGGGTTGTATTACCTTCACATTTAGCTCTTTATATGGAACTCATACATGTTTGCCATTTCCCAAATGAAAGTGGTTCACTGGTGAAGTCATCTTCTATAATCTTTACAAAAAAATTTTTTTCTGGTAATAATCCTTTTATTCCTTTTTCTTTTCATAGCTACTTGGCAGTAACTCAGTTCAGTCCTATCCACGCCCGGAAGGCCTTCCCCTGCTTTGATGAACCTGTCTACAAGGCCACATTCTCCCTCACCCTCCGCCACGACCCACAGTACACCTCGCTGTCCAACATGCCGGTGGAGAGCAGCTCGCTGTCGGATGAGGACGGCTGGTTGACCAATCACTTTGCCCGGACGCCTCGCATGTCCACGTACTACTTGGCCTGGGCTGTTTGCAACTTCACCTACAGAGAGACGCAGACGGACAGCGGCGTGACGGTCAGTCCCAACACACAAACACTGACCACTACTGCTGTTGATGCTGTATTAGCCTGTTGAGGAAGTTATATCTCTTCTAGTGATGGCTTATTTTCAGAAAGCATGAAGTTTGTAACACAACTCACAGACTCACAGCTACAGGCGTAAAAAATTAAACGAAGAGAGAAGAAGCACAAACGAGCGCACCTAAAGGTAAACACGTCTAATAAACACAATAAATAGACACCAGACTAAATTCATGGAGGCAAAATAACAATCTCATGATCTAAATTGAATTATCTCTTTTCACAGAGCGTGGGAATTAAGCTTTTGTGGTGCTCTAATTCATTTTTTAAAACATTTCTGCTGTGATCTTGACTTAATGGTCTCATTATGTACCAAATACCAAATGTTGTTGATTCGGTGGCAGCCCCTTTCTTCTTTTCTTCTGTCATTGCTGCTCTGTTTTCTTCTGGGACTAATGTTTGTCTTGAGGCTGAGAGAAAAAACTCTTATGATGAAACCTGTGTGTATAAAACATGAAACACAGCAGTCTGTTCTCTCAACATAATGTCACATTTTAGCCCCCCGTTCATCTCCAGACTAAGTTTCATATCATTGAATCCTAATCTCTGGAGTTAAGACACTAAATATGAGCACAACCGTTTTCTTCAGACAGTAATTGGCATAATGAAGTCCTGATTTGGGAGTACGGGTTTTATATTTCAGTGTACCCAGAGAAAAGGAGGAGGACAGAATATCACTTTTGAATTCAACATAATTAAAGCAGTTTACCAGTGATGTTAGTGCCAATATGTATCATAATCATGCTCATGCAAATAAATAAACTGCTATCTAAATGTGGTTATGAAGATATCTGTGAGACTAGAATGTTTGGTGGTAACCCTACCCTACCTGAGCCTATCATTTGGAAAAAGTCAAAGTGGAAAAGTGGAAATGGCCTGTGGTTCTGTCATTGTGAGGTTTGGTTTATATTCTTTGGTTTTTTATTTTTATTATTTTGTTGGGAGTTTTATGCTATGAAGACTTTGAGTTTATCAATATTTCATTTCCATGTTTTAATATTTTTTTCTTGCCTCGTCAGTATCCCGTTGTATCGTGTTATCAAGTCTTTATTTTTGTTTTGTGATTCCCATTTTGTGTGTTTCTTTTTTACCTTGTGCATTTTCACTGGTTTGACTTTATTTGGTTTTGTCTTAATTAGTTTCAGCTGTGTCTTGTTACCTTGGTATTTCCACTGTTAGCTTGTGTACAGTGATGAACATATCCAGTTTGTCTTTTGTCTGAGCATCTGTTTACCTGCACTCACCCCCTGTGGCGTTGTTATGTTCATGTTGTGTCTACTGTGCCTTTCTGTTCCATGTTTCAGGTCCCTATGTTCTGTCTCCCCAGTCTGTTAAGTTTACATGTCTTGAGTTCCGTCAGTGTGTTTCCTGTTTTACTTTCACAGTCTGTCCTATGTTAATGTTTCTAGTTTTGCTTCCCTTGTCTCGTCCTGCCTAATTACTCTCAGCTGTGCTCTCCTCCTGTGGCTCATTCCCCCTCGTTATCCCTCAGTGTATTTAAGGCCCATGTTTCTCTTTGTCAGGGTTGCGTGCTTCTATCACAATACGGCTGTGTGCAGGCAAGAGTAGGACCCAAACTCGCAGAGACAAAAAGTAAACTCAAAAAACACAGCTTTATTGCTGGTGTGGAGTGGGACACGAAAAACAATACAAAACTAAACTAGGAAAACTAAAGCACAAGGAGCCACAGGGAAAAATCACACAGCTATGAGGGAGGACGCAACCCTGACAAAGAGAAACATGGGCCTTAAATAAACTGAGGTACAACGAGGGGGAAGAGAGCACAGCTGAGAGTAATTAGGCAGGACGAGACAAGGGAAGCAAAACTAGAAACATTAACATAGGACAGACTGTGAAAGTAAAACAGGAAACACACTGACGGAACTCAAGACATGAGTTCCACATGGGAAGAGTAAAACAAAATGCAGGAACACAGGACCTCTTTCAAAATAAAATGGGAAACATAATGAAACGCAAACATGACAACTTAAGAAACACAGACATGAAGCACATGAAGGACAAGGGAGACTTAATGGGGTTTGATACACAAGGGGAATCTAATAACAAATGAACTTAGATAACCTAATGAACAAAATAAACTCAAAACTTAAAATGCTGGGTCAAAAGACCCAGGATCATGACACATGGAGTCGCCTTTATTCATGTTGACCAGCACCAACTCCGTCAATCTGCTTCATGTCATAGACTGAATGTGTAGTCTGGGGTCAAGCTGAAAGTAAATGATTGTGACATTAGCTGGTGCTGTTTGCTTTAAGCTCAATCTCTGCCATTTTTTCATGTGAAACGTATCTAGGACTTGACCAAATGTTGTAGTTTAAAGTATTGTTGCTTTATCTTAGGTCTACATATCATAAAGGTGCCATAAAGTGTGTCCTTTGTGGTCTGCTATATCAGGCGGTGTAACTGGCAGTAAATCTCCATCTTTAACAATGACAGCACCTGATGCATTGTCGTCTCCTCTGCCTCATTTTTATTCCAAATTTTTAGTTTGCTTAGAGATTATTGCTCAAACACAAAACGTCTTAGACTGAAGACACAGGAGCTGTGAACCAACAGATATGCAAGTATGTAGTAAGTAAACAGTTTTTGGCTTTTTTTTTAGATGCTATTGACATTATTGTAACCATAATTATTCACACATGGAGTGGCTTATAGTTAGCAATATATTCAATTCAATTTTATTTATATAGCGCCAAATCACAACAGAAGTCGCCTCACTTTTGATATCCTTATCAAAATTTGTGGAATTTGAAGATTAGGACATTTCTATATAATGACAATCGCTCGATTCATTTAAAAAAAACAACCAAAACACTCCATCAGTGCTTTAACACACAAAGGTCAAGTACTTTTCAAACGTACATAATGAAAACCTGCAGTGAGTTAGAGTACTGCTGCAGCTGATCTGGCCTCCACAGTCACTCAGTCTTAATCCAGATGTCATGGTTTGGGACGAGTTGGATGGCAAAGTGAAGGAAAAGCAGCCAACAAGCAGGGGCGATTCCAGGTTTGTTTACTTTTTAAACGGTGGCTTACAGGGGATCAAGAACCAGTCACGGCTGGCCTGTGGGAAATCAGAAAAATTCAATCAGAAATAAAGACAGCATTGAAAATTGGCTTAAGGAACGCTGCACTCTCCTCTGTCCCGCTACAGGTAACATGGCAGCAGAGCATAACAGCGGAAGAGGCATTTAGATCCTGTACTGAAGAAAAGCAGCAATACTCAATGTTATTATTGCATCAGTCGTTGATTCATGAATGAGTAAGCTGCTTCTGTTTCAAAGCTGGAGCTTGTTTTATTACTTTTTGTACTAATCCCGGTTATCTCAATATATATTATATCCCAAAATGTTAGATTTGTATCAAATATTATTATTTTAAATTATTTGCAATACCAGTTATTGAACATGTCAAGCATGTCTAAGGAGTACAAAGTATAAGATTAGCATTAGTACTACTAATTTAAAATAGTGAATTGTCATATTAACCTTGGCCAGAGTTATATAAGAATTAGTAATAACTTTGTCACAGGTTTTTCAACTTTTAGCTGAGTGTGATGTCATAGAAAGAATAATTCTTATGTGGACATCTCTGGTGTGCTTCATTGACCTGCGATTCAAATCTTCTGTTTACAGAGGAGCAGGCAATCAGGAGAAAGTTGTGGTGGATTATTTTGAAATATGACTCATTCCAAGCTATCCTAACTCCATGGTGATTAAATGTAACTGTACTACAGTGCAGCACTTGAGTAAATGCAGTAGTTACTTTCAAGCATTCTTGCTTTCCATGTTGTCATCCAGTAGCATTGGGTTGACAGGCTGACAATTCTGCAGCCCAGTAGCTTTGGGAGGACCCCAGGGGGCAATTATACTTGAAGGGGGGAGGTTCCACTGCTTTAGACACTCCTCTGCCAAGAGCTCAGCATGTGTTGGAGTCTCTTCAAGACTGTTGGAGAAACTCCAGGAGAGAATCTCATGGAGCTGGCTGAGAGACTGAGGAGTGTGCAGAGCTTTTCTAAACCAAATAAGAAACCTACAATTTGAAACAAATTTCCAGTTGTTAACATGTTTGTCCTTTGAAGACATTTCCATATTTTATTCACTTCAGTATTGATCCACAATGCAGAAGAAAAACTCTTCAGCAGGTCTGTCAGGACTTTACATGACTGGTAGTGTATGTAAATTTATTTGTAAAAACTAATAGTAATCATCTATAAATAAATGTATAATAGCAAAAAGACCTAGTTTTGTTGCTGTGCCTTGCTCTGCTGATGTTGGTGTGATGCGTTTTCATCTCTACACTGTAAAAAAAAAATAAAATAATAAATCCTAAAATAACAGTAATATTCCAGCAGCTGGGGCACCAAAATAATACCATAAAATAACAAAAAATAACTTTCTTATGAAAATACAGTTATTTTCAGTAATGACAATACAGTTTGTTGCCCTAATTTTACATGGGATTTTGCCTTTTTTTAGGTGCTTTTAAACATTTAGGAACATTTTAATGTGATTAAACAATGAAATTACCTATAAACAAGGTCAAAAAATGCGGCAATATGAATAACAATACTTAATGTACAGAAATATACAGATAACAGTTGGTTTAAATAATAATGGATTGCATTCATATAGTGCTTTTTGAGACCCTCAAAGTGCTTTACAATTCCACTTTATAATTCCCCTCTGGCCATCACCAGTAGGTGGTAGGTGAAGTGTCTTGCCCAAAGACACAACGACAGAGAGTGTCCGAGCCGGGGCTCGAACCAACAACCTTCTGATTACAAGTCGAACTGCCAACTCTTGAGCCACAATGGCCCTAAATAACAATAATAATAATAACTAGAAAGCGCAAATTTCAGAAGAAATTTTAAGTGTGCCTATGCCGCTGCTAATCAATGTAGTTTGCCATTCA